TAACAACATTGTTTCAATCTGTCCTCACAGTGTGTACTTATGCTAATGGATGTGAATGTAGTGTAGCACACCATAAAATGCATATTTCATTGTTATATCTCAAATACAATTAGGAACAGTAGATCGCATGTTTGAGAAAGTTATTACAGCTACTCCTCATGCGTGAATGAAAATAGGAATGGTTATTATGAACATAATAATAAAAGACAATTTATGAAACAACAAAATATCAGTAATTCTTTACAGTATTGCCACACTCACCAGAGCTAAATCTCCATGTACGCATAACAAAACCTAAGTTAGTTGATGGGGTAAACTCCCCAGCAAACATTGTTTTCACTTCGGCATGCATGGCAAGATTGAGCAGAAACTCAGGAGTACCAAGTGGACTTGTGCTACGTTCAGAACTCCTTGTCTTGCTCATCCAGACAACTTGTCAGGACGAGCAGGACAATGAGGCCGCATAGGGAACCTCCAAGACCCTCGCCACCCAAAATGCAACCAACTCGAAAGTAAACATTCACTCTTTTATCACACCTGTGTTTTTATTTTACACACTGCATAGGTTTTGTAACTCCTTTGATGTTTATTTAACTTGCCTGCAACTGACACAGAAATATATTTTGAGAATATCAATAAAGGGCCATAAAATTACCTATCAATATCTTGTGGTTGCCTGCAACTGTCAATATTGACATACAAATACTATTGAGACATCATCTTGTCCTACTCACCCAGCTTTGCAGGAGGGCGAGATGGATGAGATGAACAACTTGTCCTGGACAAAAAAGTAGAGGTTCCAAACAATCAAAACATCTTGTCCAACTTGTTCCTAACACAGCATTAAGCTGTGAGTGGGGCTTTCCAAAAAAATTTTCCCCTTGTGGCAATACCACTTGTGTCTGCAGATTATTTTTTGTACCACCTACTACAACTTTTTGTCGTCTACAAGATTATCATCTTCAGTTTGTCCTAGCTTAAGACATAAAGATGAACCAAAATGTCTGTTTAGACATGTTTATAAATATAGAAAGTTAAAGAATCATGAAATTAAAGAATCATGAAATTCCAGTAGGCAACTCTTCAATATATGATAGAATGGTGTGTGAAGGGGGAATATGGGAGGAGGAAAAGACCTATGGTTTAGCTGTATGAATTATACATTACAGCAGCAGAATTACTACCTCAAATTCAGTACACATCATTCAAAAGAAGATAGAGGCAGGAAACACATTTGTGTAATTGGGTTAGGAGTGCATTCATGGGGAGTGTGGGTGGGTATAGGGGATGAGATCATGAGTATGACTAAAGGAAACTTGTCAAACAGTAACAGATGTATTAGAAGATACTTCAAACATATTCATAATGAGAAAGTCAATGGAAAGAACACTGCCAGTTTTTGACAGGCCTGCCACAATCATGGTGCATACAACTGTACACTCATTGAGCAAATAGCCATAATTCTGATGGATAGCATAGGTCTTGTAAGCCATATCTTGCCAGAATATATATAAAGGTTTGTTCCACAGAGAAATGCAGGCTGTTGTTTAATAGATGTAAAATTCATAACTGGAAACGGTTTAGGTTAAGAAGTGTTCCTTAGGTTAGGTTAACATTTCCTAAACTAACCAAAATTTTGTAGGTAAATCATGTGATAAATAATTTGACAAAATTATGCAGACACTTTGCAGGTTTTCTAGTTTTAGATGCTACTTGTGATATATGTTTGATATTGTTAAAGGTACTAATGTAAATTTTTAATTTGTAAAAAGTCAGTATTCCCAAATATACAAAATTAGATACAATGTTTGACCCATTTCACTTTCACCAGTAGTTCATTTTTGTGTATTGAAGCATTGCTTTTGTTACATTCTGAGAATTAGTTTAAAGTAGAAAAGCATGGTATGGAGTATCATAGTTTACTTTATAACTTTGCATACACTTTGCCTTTGATTTACATCACATCTAGGGCAGTTGCAAATTAGAATCCATCACAAAGGCATATGTTCAAAATGAAAAGTATATTGGATGCTTTAAATGGATATATTTGATATTTGATAATGGTCAAAATATTTTTTGTAGTTACATCAATTTATTTCAAGCAATGGGTCTGCCAGTACCTCTTAATAGTGTAAATAAATATATATTCTATATGTAGATGTAATTTACGTATCACAGGTGATATGACTTGTCACCTCAGTACAACCCATCTATAGAATTTCTTTGTGCATATGTAAAACTTTTGATAGAGTGATAGAGTTTAGTTAAAGATAATAGATAGTACTAACTGTAACTATATGTAATCTTGTAATGAACATATTCTTTTTTGTAGAATAGTGTCTTGTGATGAGATTTTTGAAGTACTGCATGTCATTGGTTATCAGTCTTTTAACCTCTGCAGACCCCTTGTTTAACTTAATAGTATATGGACTTCCTTGGCCTTGGATATAGGCATTAATCTTTGTAAAGATACCCCAGTGTGACATGCTGGACAGTAGAAATATGATTTAATTGTTCAAACCTTTTGGATATACAGTATGCATTTTGTTCTGTTAATGAAACTTGTTTGATTGGTTATTTATTTTAAAAATTAGTGTAGGACCATTTCACAGACCCCCTGTGGATCTCTTGGGTCTGGAGAAAGGTAGAAGAGCACAGCCATATATGAAATAATTAATATAAGCTAAAATTAAAATGATTCCTTTTATCAACAGGAGAGATGAACTTTGCAGAGGTTTTACGAACAAGTGGGGGCCTGCTGTCTTGGTCACCCAGTGGACGTTTTTGTGCTGTTCCCATAACTGCCAGGCTTGAAATCAGGGATTCTTCTACCCTACAAATTTTAGTGACTTATAACTGCATTGATGCAATTCAGGTATTTGGCTGCTTTTAAGATGACTTATCATTAATAAATATATAATTAGGCATAGATAGATTAGTTTTAGTTTGGGAATCATTAATAACATTATGTAGTATTATAAAGTACTCTATATTATATTAAAAAGTTTTGATAAGATGTTATAAATATATCTTGCAATGTATTTGAAGTAGTTAAAATATTTTAGGAAAACTAGATATGCATTTCTTTACAGGTTATTGAATGGTCACCAGATTCAAACTATGTGTTAACAGCAAATTATAAACGTAACATAGCAGAGGTTTGGTCCATAGAAGATCCTGATTGGAGATGCAAGGTTGATGAGGGATCAGCTGGCCTCATTAGAGTTATTTGGGCCCCTGACAGTCGGCATATATTGACGACAGCAGAATTCCATGTAAATTTTTCTTTGTTATTTTTCCTTTTTATTACTGTCAATATGTTTTAAAGAAAAATACTTTTTATTTCATTAATTTGGGTTTACTTTTTTATTGTACAGAAAGCAAACAGCTTAGATACTATGATAAAACCTGTTTATATTTTAAAGATGCGAGTATAAATCAGATCTGATATTGATAATGGATCTCATTTTGTAAGTATATCCTGAAAACAGATAGTATACGTATGATTTTTACTCATTATTTACCCTCAAATACATTTTTATGCTCACAACAGCTTAGAATCACAGTTTGGTCACTAGTCAGCAAGTCTGTGTCCTATATCAAAAACCCCAAGAATATACCAGGAGGACTTCAGTTTAGCCAAGACAAGGAGTACCTGGCTGTGGCTGAAAGGCGGGACTGCAAGGACTATCTATCTGTACTTGAAACAAAATCATGGCAATTAGTAAAGGTAATATCCACTTGGAAGAGAATCTGGTTAAGATTTTTTGTCATGTTTGTTTTCTTGCCAATATGCATTTTTATTATTGCATTTATCTGCAGTTTTATATAATCCATCTCAAATTAGTAAAGGTAATATCCACTTGGAAGAGAATCTGGTTAAAATTTTTTGTCATGTTTGTTTTCTTGCCAATATGCATTTTTATTATTGCATTTATCTGCAGTTTTATATAATCCATCTCAAATTTGCATTAATGTTAGACATAAAACTTTCAGGTTGTTTGATGAGTATTGATTATGCCTTTTACTTTTACTGAGACCTTATTTAATCCTTTCAGCATTTTGAATTAGCAACAAGAGATATTGCAGGCCTACAATGGGCAAATGACAGCTCAGTGCTTGTGGTATGGGAGTCACCTTTAGAATACAGAGTCCTTATCTACTCTCTAAGTGGACAGTGTCTTGCAAATTACTCTGCTTATCAGTGGTCACTTGGTATTAAAAGCATTGCATGGTCTCCTTCTGGGCAGTTCCTTGCAATAGGAAGTTATGATCAAAAGGTATTTTTTAATTTGGATTTATTTACAGAACATTTCATTTGGAAATTGGATATTGTATTAATGTTTTTGTAATTCTCAGATCATTTTAAATATATGTACTATATTCCTTATAATCGTTAAATTTTCAGTTCATCATGGTTAGTGACTTTGAAAGTCTGTACTATTACAGGTGAGATTAATGAACCACATCACATGGCGCATAATTTCTGAATTCTGTCATAGTTCTACCATTGACTCAGAAAATTGTGTCATATACAAGGAAGTTGAAAAACCATTAACAGGATATCCAGCAACCTTAGCCTCAGTTCAAGGTCTTCCATTAGTTCTTGAAACCACATGTAAGTTGGTGCTCATTTTACATTGCTTTCAATACTTTCACATATTAATGACAGGCTCAGTAATTGGTAAAATGTTACATTTATTATTAACACTTTGATTATTTGTTTGATTTTGGAGTTATTGAAATAGTGATTACAGTTCCTGAAACTTTCACTTGGTAAAGATTACTGTTTTTATGTATTACCATTTATACTTTGAAAACAGTGGGTTGTTCTTCAGCAAATCTAAGTGTCAATAGTACACAAAGCACCATCAGTGTTATGTAAAAAGAAGAAATTCAAGAAGTGGCTAATATAAAAACCCTTCTATTTTATAGATGAGGAAGAAGAATCTAGACCAGTCAGCCTTGCATCCATAACAGTAGAGCCTGGGAAACAGGCAAACCCACGCATAGGTGTCGGGACACTCCTTTTCAGTAGTGATAATAGATACCTAGCAACACGGAATGATAATATGCCGGCTACCGTATGGATTTGGAGCATACCCAAGTTAGCATTAAAGGCTATACTTGTACATGCAAATCCAATAAAGGGTATGTTTTTTTTTTTCTCTCCTTTTTCTTCTTCTTCTTCTTTTTATTTCTATTCTTTGAAGATTTTACAGACTTGTAGCAAACCAAAATCTCAGCTGAAGCTCTCGGCTATAGTTTAAATAATTTATGTGTGATACATTAACTCCAAATTTACTTTAGAGTATAGAACATATGAATACATAAAAAACATGACTTGCTTGATTCTATAGACCCAGCTAGCATGCTGACAGAAACAAATGATACTGAAAAGGTTTGTGGACACTATAACTTCAGTAAGGTAGTGATGATTTTTTGTTTGTTAATTTCTTGGATTTTAGTTGTTTGTAAGTTTCTCGTTCAATAATAAATGCTTCCTGTTTTGTGCTTTCCATATCCAATATTCATATTAACAAAAGATTAGTGACAACATTGTTGGATATAGAAATGAAGTGTATATTACTTAATTTATTGTTTTTAATATAAATATTTTTGTATGCATTTTATGACATTAAGGTGTATTTAATCAAGGCAAGTATGTAGTAAGATCAAGGTAGATAGAAACATTAAAATAGATTCAAAATGAAAAGCTTATGAAATAAAAAGTTGAGAATCAAGTGTACAGATGTTTATCTTAGGGCATGGAATAGTGAAAAGATCCATGCATACGATCTGTAAAGGTTTAATGTATGCAATTTAGAGAGGAAAAAAGAAAAGGAGAGAAATATTTGTCATCTTAGTGCATAGCAACATTACGTTTGCATCCAAACGTACTTACATATATTTGTTTTTCAAAGTTAAACAAACAATCCTCTTTTATTCAAGACATGGCTTGGGACTCACAGCATCCTCGTCTGGCACTTTGCACTGGGAACAGCCATGTATACTTTTGGTCTCCATTTGGCTGTTTAACTGTTGCTGTTCCTGGAGCTCCAACATTACAAATTAATTCACTGAGGTACTGTAATTATTAATACAGTTTTTTAGGTTATGATAATGTAATGAATATGAATAAATGCTGAAGACATAGTTGGGTTGTTACTTGTCTACAATATAAATCTTTTCCACAGGTGGCATCCTTCAGGTTCACGAGTTGCTCTAATAGGACGTGACCAGTTCTCTGTCTGTTTTTTTGATAAACAACTTCAATTATGTGAATCTATATCTTCACCTCAATGATGTAGGTGTTAATAGTCAACTTCAAGGATATGCATACCTTTACCTGACCTTTGAATGAGAAAGCAAGATGATACAAGGATGTTTAAAAGAAACAAACTTCTTTTGGCATATATTATCATTATACCCAAAAAGTTTGTGTTTTTAATTAGATCTTTCAGATACAGTTCTAAGTTGGAAAATGATATTGGTATTCTGTATAATTTAGTTACAGCAGTTCATTATTCATTAAGAAAATTAATCAAATACAATTGTACATTGATGTTCAAGCTTTATTTTTAAAAGAATTTATGATATTTTCATATTTTCATTTTCATTTTCAAAAGAAGTATTTTCATCTAATAGAATCATATTCCAAAGAACTCGCATTCATCTTATATATTGTAATTCATACAAAATTAATAGTTAAGCAACATTAAGGGAGGATCTTAGATTTATATGGTTTGTGATAAGCTTTAATACACATTTTGCAATAAATAAAGGAGTTATGAATTTTGTATGTATGCAGATACTTGTTAACACAAATTTCGTTATAAATATGTCGACTCAAGAATCACCCTAGAAATATCAACATTGTAACAATACTAAAGATCTGAAGTCCTAAGAGCATGTATATAATCATCAATGGAAAAAATGTATTTTATATTTTCTTAATAAAGTTATTTTAGAATTGATTTTTCCTTCTTTCTATCCCCCCATTTTGTGCATATGCAGGCATGCATGCATGGGTGTAGGTGAGGTTTTCTGTGCAGATGCTCGAGAAAGTGTATGTGCCTCTGGACATCACATATTTTGCTGTTAGTTATTTTCCTTTTGTTAATGCTGCTTATCTCTAAGTTCTTCAGTTAATGTTAGCATTCAGGTCTAAACAGAGGAAGAAAAGTTGAAATGAGGGTAGGCTAACTAAGGTCTATTATTTTTCTAGTTTGTATATACATTTTTTAAAAATCTAAATAAAACCATTGAGGATAAAATTAATGAAATTTATTTCACATCAATTTTTTCCAATACATTTTACCTTGTCTTTATAATACTCTCTATTTGTAAACACAATAACTTCTAGAGTCAAAAATAAGCATGAAAGTACTGCATATAACTTTTCCAAATTTGTTAGAAAGACATGGTAAAGTTTATAAAAAAAAGTACTTTAATGGGTTCCAAAGACAGACTTCAGCCAGTCAGCTCATAATTTTCAGTCACATATGCTACTGTCTGCCTCAGTAGCCCCCCCTAATCTCTTGCTGCTGTTGTCATGGAGGGGGAGGGTCTGGATAGTCTTTTCTTCTCCTTTCCTTTTCCTTCTCTTCTTCAGCCACTTCCGTCCACCTGAAGTGTGAGAGCCGTGCTGAAAGGGTGAAAGGCTGGCTTTGAGTCAGTCTTGAACGATCTTTGTACTCTGTTTCTCTTCCCTCTTTACCCTTTTCATTGCCACACGAACCTACAGCGCTCTACAACCTTTGGCATCTAAACATATTTTGTCCTAATCGTCAATTCATTTGTAACCTTTTTGTCCACAAGACTTTATCATAGTGCTATATGACTTTTGATATCTGGTACAATTATTTGTTTTGACCATTACCCATTCTGGGAATCCACAAATATTGCATATGACCCAATAAAACTTTTTCCCCAAGCCCTTATTTTGAATACGCCATTAATGACCTTAGATGTTGACATGGCACAAAATGTTAAAAAAATAAATAAATATTTCTGTCAAACATTTTCTCTATATACTTTTTGTTATGTCAGTGCCAACATCGATTCCGCCTCTAGTAGCCAAGTTATGACATGTGCCCTTCCTCCTTGGAAGAGCCCAAAGGGTGTCACAAATTTGGAGGTGTTCCTCTCTGAGACCAGGAAGTTCATTCGAAGTCAAAGCAGACGAGTTCAGATTCAGGCAGTGTCCTGGGTCCCTGGCGGCCTTCATATCAACCCCCTCATAACTATGATCAACTAGGTAAGTTGATTATAATGGTGAGTCTTCAAGTCTTCCAGACCTTCAAAATGTTCTTGACAATCATGCTACACCCCATTGCAACAGAAGACATCACAAAGTAAGAAGTATTTGCTTTTCAGTTCCTGTAAAAAGTCATTCTTTAGCCTTCTATATTACACGACACATGTCATCCATTCATTGGTGTATTTGTCCTATTAGGTGAAGCGCTTCTTTTAGTTCATTTGGCGGGTTTATGTTAAAGATATAATCATAATCATCATCAATAACAACAACAAAACAACAACAATAATAATAATAATATTAATAATAATAATGATGATGATGATGATGATGATGGTAATGATAATAGTAATAATAATAATAATAATAATAATATGCACATGCATTGGGATACTCTTGTTCACTGTGTCTGAAATTAATTTCATGGAAAAATTTAATGCACAGATCGAGATAGAGATGTCTGCCCTTTTCAAGGTAGTTGTTAAATTTGCTATATCAGCACTTTAGTTATTTTCAATTTACTTAAATCATAAAATGCATAAACAAAATAACATAAAAATTATAAATATAAATTTCTCCACGAGATATAACGCTTATTATCTTGAGGAATGAGTCTTACTAATGCAAGCGTAAGGCAAAGAATTTCAATTCTCGTTGACTATAACTCTATGAAAAGGTGCTACCCACCAAGGTCTATTTAGATACTTGTATGGAGCTTGCTATCAACGAGGCGAGATGAGCTACTACTATAGTATTACTTAGGGAAAAGGGTACACTCAAAGTGTTCCACAAGTAAAAGTGGCCCTCAAAGTTAAGGAATCTATGTCATTTGGGAAAGATATGGGAATCCAGAGAATGATGATACGGTATAGCACACTCGATACATAAAGCTAATGAAAATTTATGAGGTTAGCTTAGAAAAAGCGCTACGTACAAATTTGCCTTGAGTAAAGAGTACGCTTTCGTTTTTTTCGGCAAAGATCTTCGGATTTGTCGATTTTGAGTTACATGCATTTTCAATGAGTTTCTGACTGCCCGAGTCTCCCCTGAAATTTTGAAGTCCCCCCTGCAATTTCTAAGGTGGTTGCTGCCACCTTAGATATACCACGAAAATATTATGATTTTTCACATTACCTTCGAAAATTGGAAATTGTGACTTAACAAATAGACATAAAACAATGAGTATCTTTAGAAAGCATATAAAATTCTACAAAACATGAGAGCAACATGCATTTTTTATGAATAATAATAAAAAAAAGATATTGAAACCAAATTTATTTTTTAAAATAAAATTCACGATAAATGATATGTTGTTTTAGAAAAGCTTTTATTTATTTATTATTTTTTATTTTTTTTTTTTTGCATCATATTTCGTCAGTTTTATCCTTCAGCAAAATGTCTTGAAGATAATACCCCCCCAAAAAAAAAAAAAAAAAGGGGGTACTTTTAGCCTATGCGAGTTACCTGCTCGATGCATTTTTTACCTACATTCATCATTCAGTCAAAAGACTTTCTAGTCGATTATATTTTCGGAAAATCTCTCAAAATACTAAAAAAAAAAAAAAATACACACAAAAGGCCATCAAACACACGGTACTGATCTGTATGTACATTCATATATATACATATATATATATATATATATATATATATATATATATATATATATATATATATATATATAATATATATATATATATATATATATATATATATATATATATATTATATATAATATATGCATGTATACACAGATCAGTACTGTGTATTTGATGACCTTATAAAACAATATATATAAACAAAAGGTCATCAAATACACGGTACTGATCTGTATCTGCATGAGAGCCTTCAGCAGGACCGGGCGTGGCCCAAGGTCTATATGTACTTATATAGACCTTGGGCGCGCCACCCGTGGGACGAGCGGGAACGGGGCGGGGAGCGCCACACGTGGCACGCGCGAGAGCGGGGGCGGGTGCGTGGCGTGCGCGAAAGCGGGGCCGGGCGCGACACCCGTAGTGCGAGCGGGAGCGGGGCGAGGCGCCACCGGTGCCGGAGCGCCATCCGGGGTATGAGCGAGAGCGGGGGGAGTGCGGCACCCGGGTTCTTTATTATTATTTTATTATTATTATTATATTATTGTTATTATTATTATTATTATTATTTTTATTTAGGCAGGCAAAGCGAGAGCAAGCAACAGGCAGGCGAGAGCGAAACCATTCGTCCCCTCCACCACAACGAGCATGAATGGTACTTCGGCCATTGAGGAGGCTTCAGGCCAGTTTTATATATTGTAAATCCCCATTATAGCTCATTATAAAGGGAAATGATACATGATTATATCATATGGAAGTATTTCACATATCATTTGTTATACATACTGTAAATAATAAAAAATGAACGTATGACGACATTTTGATATGATACCGGTATAACTTACGAAAGCTCTGGCATACGCAATTTTGGTCCAAAAAAAAACTTTTATGGCTCATTGTGTAGCTAAATAAACAATCTTGTGCTTATTGCACTTACTTTTTGCAATATTTTCAATTGCTTCTTATAAAAGTGACATAAAAAATAGGCCTACTTGGACTGTTCAAACAGTCATCTTTGTAATTTATTCACCCCCCCAAAAAAAAAAAAAAAATAAGGTCAACTTCTAAAATTTGGCTTCCGTATATTATAGTTGAAGGATTTTGCTATTCAGATATAAAATCAGAATGGCTGTATGATTTTGGGGGGATTTTTTAGAAAATTAAAAAAAATGGTCAATGTAGGCCTATATTCACCACAAATCACTGTGACCCTACTATAACAAATGTCGTGTAGTGAGATACTATTCCTTGCTAGGAATTTCCACAATACTTCGCAAGGAAGGTAAATCATAGGGGATTATGTTATAGGAAGATTATTCTAATACCTAATTTTGTTTATACCAATACAACTATGAAAATGTACTAAAACCCAAAAATGCCGATATCTCGGAACACTACCTTTGTACTCTTCGTCAACGATTTAAGACACAATTTTACTCCGAAAAAAAACGTTTTATGGCTCATTTTGTAGCTGAATAAAAAAATCTAGTGCTTGTTGCATTTAGTTTTTACGTTTTTTCCTGTTTTTCTTGTAAAGATGACATTTATACAAAAAAAAAAAAAAATCTCAAAGTCGGTTATTTCAAAAATTTACAATAAAAAAACAAAGTCGAAATCGAAAAAAAGTGCTTGCAACAAGCACGAGATTTAGGGCGAATCTGTTCAAAAATCACATCAGAAAGCCTGTGTATTTTTTCATGGTACAGAAATCATTGACGAAAAATTGCCAATTTTCAAAGGGGGGACAGTTTTTTTTTTCAATAATTCAAAAACTGTTCGGGCGATTTTGAAAAAAAAAAGTTTTGAGATCTCACTAGGGTCTAAATAAAAGGGTGCGAGTTTCATCAAAATCGGTAAGAAAAATCGAAAAATTGAAAAAAAATACCAGACGGTCCCCTTTAATGCTGTTTAACACAGATGTGGAAAGCAAGGTCTGTATAAGTACTTATATAGACCTTGGTGGAAAGTGCCTGTTCGTGCTCTCGGGGCGGTAAAGTCCAAGGCGAATCTTGAAAAAAGTATTTAGCGTAATCAGTCCCCGTCTATAAGATATTGATAACGTCATTACTATTATTAATACCAGCAGTGCCTAAATCTTGATATTTACTTAAATATATTATCATATATTGGTGAGAGGGAAGCCTGTCATGATACCATCCACCCCTTAGATTCGCCTGTGCGCAAAGTACCAACGAATGATCGTTAGTGTATCAGTGAATAAAAAATGTGTGTACAGTGCTCAGTGATACGTTAGAAATATTGATTAGACAGATAGAAGCCAGTGTGATGTAACTACTTCAGGTAGTTAGTCAGCTTGACCTATCACTAGGTCATAGTAAGACCTAACTCCAAATAGCGATAACGATCATATTCCACCCACTCCACAAACGCAACCAAGTTGACATGCAATGAGTGATCAGGAAAGGTGAAAAAGATTAATCGGAACATCATGAAAGGGCTACAGCATAAAGCCAAGTTTTAATTGAAGAAAGATTTTGCTTCACATTTGAAAATGATATAGCCTGTATTGTACTTCCTAGTATGATCTAGTCAGACTTGTTGTTATGCCATTTACCTAAGACAAGTAGAATAATATAGAAAAAACACTGAAATCAGTACATAAGTTCTGATTCTAAGAGGGCTATTCCGGTGTAACAGCCCCGACTAAACCCCCGCCCAGAATATATCTGGAGTTATTTTAGGTTAGGCTATTATAAACTCACGGAAGGTTAGGTCAATTTATACCCCCAGGGATAAAATGGGCTAGGTCAGAACCAACAAAAATTAAGTTCTAAGCGGAAGCTGACAAAGGTTACAGTGATCACTATTAACATGACAAGGTCAGAAATTCAAACAGAATAGTTACCCAGGACTCATACTGGGTAAGAGGCCGTCCATAAAGTACTTACACACCAATTTTATGACCAGACACATTTATGAGTGTCTGGTGGTCCTAATACAGCAGGCAGTATGTCTAGCAAGGTTCACTTTGTACTTGGCGGAATGTTACCTTTCATTCAAAGGTAGTTTCATTCAGTAACTTTCATGCTTCATCTACATCAGTTTTGCCAGAGCAGAGTGGGTGGGTCACTTTTGGGCGTGTCTGGCGGGCATAATGCAGTAGGTAATTTGTTTGGTATTTTCCATTCTGTACTCTCTCAGATGTGTTGGAGTATATAAACTTTATTTCAGGTGGTACCAATAATGTTTGATCCAACCCAAATTTTTAGGCCCTTTTTGGGCGTCTGGTAGGAGAGATTATGTCTGACATGAACCATATTTTACCCAGTGTGATGTGTAAATTACCCTGAAATACACTGTGTGGTACCTATGCATGTTTGATCGAGCTGATTTTTTTTATTTTTTATTCCTTTTGAGGGTCCCTAGGGGCCAAACGCAGCAGGGGGTCCCCGGCAGACGTGCAGTTCTTCATATACCGTATCATTCTCTACATGATCCTGTATTCCGTAATTAGTACCAAGTTCGTTTGACCAAACCTCTCTTGGCTGCCGGTCTATATACTCATTTCTTCCTATTTTATATCTCATAGATCTATCTCTTCTGAATCTTTTCCAAAGAAGCTTCCTGTTTTCTGTCATTTTCTTGCATTTGTCAATGAACCATTTTGGCCATTATGAATTTTCCACTCCTTTTTTATAGGCCTCAGAATTTTGAATACTGAACATCCTGGTTCTCATCGCCTAAAAGTGTTTCCCAGTATATACTATCAAAAAAAAGAAAAAAAAACTATAGTCACCTCTTTTATAATTGTACTTTTCTTTTCTTTCCTTGCTTACGATCAGTTTTTTTTTTTTTTTTTTTTTGTAACAGAAAGTATTTTAGTTTAATCACTACATGGTCACTATTTCCTAAAGGAGGATAGTACTCGATATCCTTTATATCATCGTTATGCTTTGTGAATATATGGTCAAGCATAGACGGCCTATCTTGTCCTCTTATCCTGATATGATCTGTTACATTCTGGAAAAGGCAATGCTCGTTTATTTCTTGTAGTAATTTAGCATTCCACGAATGTGGTTGCGCTCAGGGATCGAAACTTTCCTTGTCGATTTTGCTATTAAAAGCCCCTGTGATAAGAATTTCTTTTTCATTGGTTTCCGAAAGTTTTAGCACTTCTTCCAAGCTCTTTAATGGCTCTTGAATTAATTTTTGGTGAAATTCTTGTGACCACACCAATGTGTGAGGTGGCATGTATACCATGGTTATTATTATGTTTCCCCCGTTTGTTTCTACCTCATTTACTTTCTGTTCTACTATGGGGTCCTGATTAATTTCTAACTCCTTCGTAATAATTCCTTTCCTTGTTAATATTGCTACCCACCTCCATTTCCATTTACCTCTATATTTTTCAAATATTATAGTCTGAGTTCTAATGTTACATCGTCTATGGAGGGATCCAGTTTTGTTTCAGTGATGCATATTACATATTACTAATATAAATTACATTTATATCAGTTATTGTCTCTCGTTCTAGCAACTTCGAAGATAAATCATCAATATTTGTAGAAACTATTTCTACATTATCTTTCGATATTTGTTTTGGTTGCAGGGTTATGTTTGCCTGTCTCTACATTTTGGTTCCGTTAGTATATTTAATTTGCCTGGAGACCTCTAACCCTCCAAATAAACGTTTTTTTTTTTTTTTTTTTTTTTTTTTTTTTTTTTTTTTACCGCGCAGTCCTTTGTTCATCCTTATCCTTTACTTCTTTACTGCGTGCGTGCGTGCGTGCAGACGTGTGCGTCCGCTAAACTATATAATTTAGATTTGAATGCTTAATCATGGTCATTCTGACATAAGATATCATTAGAGCGAAATTTACTGCAGCAAAATTATTCCGGGAAATGCTAGAAGTGTTGCATGCATTTAAATGTAATACTCAAATTCTTCCGGGATATACAAATTCAAATTGCATATAGAAAAAAAAAAATGAAAGACTGAGATGACATTATAAACTGTTTTTCAGTTACGGCTATAAGGGAAAACCAATGATATTGTACTATAAAACTTGGTAAAAGATTACCAACAACGGGGTAACAATAACTGGCAATAGGCGGCCATTGGACAGTTCGGAGAAAAACTGTGCGTGAGGAAGTAAGACTTCCTTTCTGTTTTCGTCAACCATATTT